GACAATAAATTGTGGGAGAAAACAATATGTATACTATGTGCAGTGACCAGAACGTGAGCATGTTAACATGCCAGGTAGGGTTGCCAAGTCCCTTAGTCACTCCGGCGGGGGGATTGGGGGAGTGTTTTCAGGGTGGGTGGGGACATGGTGCAACATCACCAACATGATTACGTCACCTGGAAGTGATGTCATTACATTGGAGATGTTGTGTGGGGATGCTCTGGTATTTGGGTGAAATTCTATGGTTTCCTTGCCCCCAAACCACAGAGTTTGCCCAAATACTAGAGCGTCCCTGCAATTCCTGCACGATAGCCCCAATGTGATGATGTCACTTCTGGGTGATGTCATCATGTTGGGGACATCGCATGGCGACGTCCCTGTTTAGGGGTGGGGTTTCTCCTGCTGGCCAGCTGGTCTGTGGCAGGGAGAAGCCCTTGAAATTGGGGGATTCCCCCACCAGGACCTAGGAGCTGGCAAGCCTAATGCAAGGAGGTCTTGTGCTCTCATTCCAGTGATTACATTTAGGTGGGCAGCAAAACTAACTTGCTTGTTCCTGCTCCCCATTGTCAGACCCCGGTCCAGTTATGCTCAACAACTCTCTCTTTGGCAGTGATAGGTTTATTGGAGTATATGCAAGATCCAGAAAGCCACTGTGTCAGAACTAAAGACTTTTGGTGGGCACAAGCTTAATATAGTAAATTCAAAGAAAAGCCCCTTCCCCTTCTCCAAGCACACGTCACACTCATACCACGCCTAGCGTTGCCATCCCAACCAAGAGAAAGATATATGGCTTGGGTACCTACATTCGAGGATGACACAGAGAAACTCTCAAGGACACCTTCCCTTGGGAAAGAAAAAGAGAGGGAAGGAGGATGACTTGGAAAGTTATGTCTGCTATAAGCAAAGGTCTCATTCACTCTCTCACTTACACTACCCCCCTCCCCTAAGAAGAAGAAGAAGAGATTGGATTTATACCCCACCCTTCACTTGGAGTCTCAGAGTGGCTTACAAACTCCTTTCCCTTTCCCTCCCCCTCCCCACAACAGACACCCTGTGAGGTAGGTGGGGCTGAGAGAACTCTGACACAAACTGCTCTTTTTCAAGGACAGCTGTGCCAGTGCTTGTGATTGACCCAAGGTCACATCAGCAGGTACAAGTGGAGGAGTGGAGAATCAAACCCGGTTCTCCCAGATTAGAGTCCGCACGCTTAACCACTACACCAAACTGGCTAAGGAATTCCTTCCCCCCAATAACAGTGGCAACCAAAACAACCAGAGCGTTGCAAGGTTTGACACCCATATATATTTGAGTTGTTTCTCTCTGGCTATATCAGCTGAAGATGGCTACAGTGTAATGATGTTATGTCTAATGAGTTAGGCTCAATCAGAGTTCCTCAATGTGGTGCCCTTGGGCACCCTGCACTCTTAGCGCCCTCTGAGCTGTTCAAAAAGTAGCTGGGGAGTTTGTAAAGCAAGATTTAGCTGTTCTTATTCAAATGAAAGGTTTTTCCATGGATGCAATAGTAGCAGCAGCCACTGGAGGAACAGGGGAACTAGTAAGTATCTAGGTTAATGATTCCATTTATACTTTTGGAGGAAAGTATTGTATTTGGTGCTACTTCCTGTGGTGGTCACTTTGGGTTTGGCTCCGCCTCCTGTGGCAGTTATTTTAGGATGGGGACTACCATGAGCTCTCAGAATTCCAAAGGTACCAGAAGACTGACAAAGGTTGGGAAGTCCTGTGCTAAATGTTACTTGGAAGAAGGGAAAATGGGACAGGTGAAACTTGAGTAGTGTAAAAATACCACAGTCCCAGGCAAATATACATGTGTTCAAGAAGTCTAGTTCTAAAGAATAAGTTTGGTGTGAACAGCTATGTTGCGTAACAACCGTCTTTTCATACTAAACTATCAGTATTTCACACTGACTGTGTGGTTAAACTGGTGGAGAATAAGGCTGAACCATCAGTAAAACTTGTATTAGAATTACTCAAGTCTCTGATGTACTCAAATCACTAGAAAACATGCAGCAGAGTTCTAACCATTACATTCCACGTATCTTATAGTATCCACTTTCAACCCTATTGTAACATTACTGTTATTAAAAAGCTTAAAAATCCTAAAGTAGAATATTTTCATCATTAAAATATGTGCACTTATTTTTTCAATTTTATGTGAATAGCATGGTTACTGCCACAAGTATTTGTTAAAAAACAGTAGTTTGCATTCACTTGCTCAATGAGCAGATACTATTTATTTTTCTGTTACAATGAGCAGCAAGATGTTGAAGATCAGCAGTGACATCATAATAAAGCATAAAAGTAAAGTTCTTTACGAGAATCCTGGGATATCCCTGTCATAAGTTGAGTTCTTTTCTTCTGACCTTCACAATGAACCATTTGCACTTAAATAAACCCTGAAGAAATACAACAATTCCTTAAAAAGAGAGTTCTCAGAATGGGAAAATAAGAAAGTGAAAGGTCAAGAAAATGCTCTCGCCTTGGTGGTTACCTGACCTGTGTGCATTTATTTGAGAGAAGAAAAGAGGAAGATGCTTGGCCGTGCTACACAACACATTGCTGCACTAAAGCGCTTTTACAAACCTTTCTTCAGAGGACACTATCTTATCATTACCAATACAGTGAGCTGTGGTTTTTTACTTGGAACTGCAGATATAATTCGGCAATCTATTGAGAGAAGGCAAAAGCCCACAAAAAACTGGGATACTACCCGCACAGCTCACATGTTTATTACAGGATGCTCCATGGGACCACTGCTACATTACTGGTACTTCTGGATAGACAAAATAGCTCCAGGAAAAAAATCTAGAAGCATTAAAACTGTGATTATAAAGGTAGTAATTGACCAGACCTTTGCTCCATGCTTTGCATGCTGGTATTTCATGGGAATGGGGCTGCTTCAAGGTCATAGCGTGACAGAGAACTTGAATGAATTTAGACGGAAATTTTGGGACTATTATTTGGCAGAACTCTCTTTGTGGCCAGCGGCTCAGATGATCAACTTTCTGTTTCTTCGTCCCAAATACCGAGTGTTATTTGTGAATGTAGTAACATTGGGATGGAATGTTTACCTCTCATACCTCAAACACAGAGATGAAGGAGAAGAAGTGAAGGATGAATCTATTTCATCAAAATAATTCGGATGGATGCAAATATATATGGAATAGACAACATATCCTTGGAATTCTGTTTTTCCCCATTCTGTTTGGGCTTCTCACTTCTGTTTAATAAACACCGTATGTGAAGTATGCACAGCTCTGAGGGATGTTGTACTATTAGGCAAGGTGAGGTACCAGATAGCAAACTGTAAATTATTTGTTATTATTCAATTTCTACTGTTTTGGTGTGCCTTTTGGAGTTTTCTGTTCCCATTAAGATATCATTAATTAATTAAGAAACTGTTTATGCCACCTCTCCAGGAAACTGCCCAAGGTGGCTTACAAAATAAAAATAATAAAAACAAAAACATTTAAATACCTTAACATCTAGCAATAAGAACCCAACCTGACAAAAAACATAGACCATGGTCTCACTGACAGCTTAAAATAACAGTTTCTAGACTAAAATGGTGTTAAAAGATCACAGTTTTAATTAGAAGCCTGGGTTAACAGACACATTTTGGCCTGGCACCTTAAAGAAAACTATGTGTCAGGTGAGCCTCAAGAGGAAGGGCGCTACATAACCAAGGAGCCACTATTGAAAAAGCCTGATCTCTGATTGCCATCTGCCTCACCTCTGCTTGTGAAGTAGATCTTAACTGATGGGCTGAACAACCTGGGAGGAGTCTGTCCTTGCTCATATAACAAGCAAACCAAACAATCCATGGTTTCTTCAAAATGAGAACAAACCTTGGAATTCCTCAAGTTTGCATACTTTTTTTCATCATTTAATGTGTCATGTTATATGGTATATGGGCTGGAAGCAGTCTTCTATCCCAAATGTATGGCCCAGAAATGGATTGTAGTAAGGGGCTACCAGGCTTTTGCAGATCAAGCAACAATATACATATAAGATTTAGCACCGTTCCTCCTTGTTGGTCCTGGAATCCCAATCCAATCTCTTGTCTCCACTTCATGTGCATAGCTGTTTTTAAAGTAAATTTAAAGAGATGTGAGATCTGATCATGGATCTCCAAAGCCTTGTAAAGTTTGAATCTGAAACTTAAATATGATGGTTATAATTTATCTTATTTTATTAATAATATGAGACATGATCAATATCAAAAGTATGGACTTCTGTTATACTAGATATATTGCCTGCCATGTTCCAGTCTAGAGTCCCCTTCCATTACTCAATCACATGGAAACATATTGCAAAAAAATAGGCCTTTAGACTACCTGACCACTCACAAAAATATCCAGTTCCTTGGAAATTCCTCCCTAAATCTGCACTCTTTTCTACTCTGCCAATAGGACTTCCTCTTCTCCTCAAGGCTGAACAATGATTCTTTCTCAGTGTTATTTTCACCTAATAGGTCTAAGCAATCCTTATACAACCAACATCCCTTTTATATCTAGATGTGGGTAAGCTACAAAGGGGAAGTGTGCATGTGGAAGATTAAAGCCAGGGTAAAGTAAAATGCAACAAGGGATCCTTTTACATAGACACCTTCAATTGTCCTTGTGAAAACAACAAACAATTAGAAAGCCATTAAGGTGAACTTAAGGACTACAACAAGCAAACAGGCGTCCCATCCTCATTTTTAAAAAGGAAAAGACATGCAACCTTCTTTGCCTCCAGTCACATTCTTTAGTCAGTAAATCGGATGAAAATGGTATATTCTAGACAAGTATAAAAAATTTTCCGTTCCAGAGAGATTATGGAAAATCCATGCACCTATCAAGATCATAGCCATTGCAGTTTATCTCTGATAGCAAATAAAAGTTGATGGCAAATAGAATTCTACTCTTCTGGGTTTTACCCAAACATGAGACAGATGATATTGTAATTTATAATGAAGTTAGCCTTAGCTGAATACTTACCAATTACACAGAATGGTTTCCTTGCAAATCGCAACCTTCCTTGCCATCCACGGTATCGACAACAGCAGCCAGCAGACCAGATGCGTACGATAAATTCTAAACCAAAGACAACAATCATGACAGACTCCTAAAAGGGACAAATAAGAAACACAGCTGGTGAAGTCAACAGCATAAAAAACAGAAGCAAACACTTGTCAGTACTGACTAATTAAGCTGACGCATCTGGAATTCCATGTGTTAATCACTCTTTGGGTGAAGAAGTACTTCCTTTTATCCGTTCTAACCCAACCGCTCAGCAATTTCATGGAGTGCCCACAAGTTCTTGTATTGTGAGAAAGGGAGAAAAGTACTTCTTTCTCGACCTGCTCTATCCCATGCATAATCTTATAAACCTCGATCATGTCACCCCTCAGCCATTGTTTCTCCAAGCTAAGGAGCCCCAAGCGCTTTAACCTTTCTTCATAGGGGAAGTGTTCTAACCCTTTTATCATTCTAGTTGCCCTTTTCTGCACTTTTTCCTTTTTGAGGTGTGATGACCAGAACTGTACACAGTACTCCAAATGAGGACATACTTATCGATTTATACAGGGGTATTATGATACTGGCTGATTTGTTTTCAGTTTCCCATCAACATGTATTTATAATTAGGATTTTTGGCTCCAATGTGCATCCCTTTGCACTTGGCCACATTAAACCCCATTTACCACATTGATGCCCACTCGCCCATCCTTGACAGATCCCTTTGGAGTGCCTCACAATCCTCCCTGGTTCTCACCACCCTGAACAACTTCATGTCATCTGCAAATTTAGCCACTTCACTGTTTACTCCAAGCGTCCACTAGAGTGAATTATTCAGCCAATTGTAAGAAGGAGTTTGGCAGCTCATTATCTTTTTTCTGTTCCTGGTTTGGAGCATAGATATTGACTATCAAAGTAGCTTTGGCTTGTCTCTGTGCCTTTACTATTACTACTCTTCCATCTTCTGAAATATAGATCATTTACCTTTAAACATACTATACCCCTGTTTTATTTTTAGAAGTAGTGTAGTATGTCTCTGGATCATCGCGGTCGTGAGCTTTCTTTGAAGTTTAGGGGGTTTAAAGCAAAAACTGAAGCTGGAACAGAGCTGAATATATTCCTGGCAAATTGGCTGGTGAGCACTCTAAGCCTGCAAGATGGTGTCACTCCCCTGCTTCAGAGAGTTTATTGCGTTGGTAAGGTATGTGAAGAATCTACTTCCTCACTATATACTAGAGATATACTAGAATAATTCAAAGACTTTTGAACATGACAGAAAATCCTCTTGGAGGGCAGGGCAGGGGGAGGCCTTGACTTTTGGGTGGGTGGGTGGAGATTCAAGTTTTTCCAGATCTCCCTCTGGAATATTTAAAGATAAGAAGAGATCTTAAAAGTATCACAGGCAAACTGCGAGATTTAGGAATAAAGTACCAATGGCTCAGAACGGGCAAGCTATATGTTCAACAGGGCTCAACTTCTTATTCTGCTTATGACTCTGTCTCAGGTGAAATAATGCTGGCTGCTTTAAATCCTTCTCCTTCAGAATCCCAGAAAACAGAGCTGGCAAAAGGAAAGAATGCTCTCCTCTCACGTCAGCTAAAACGACTCGGGTTTGAAGAGAGTGTGGACTCAATATAAAAACAAATTGAGGATTTGGGTAACATAGAATAATTCTTTTTTATGCTAATGAGCGGTGGGATGTGACGAATGCCTACGTATGTTCCCCACAGGACCAATGGGTTCCCGGAAGGAGGGTTTTTACCCTCCTGACCCCTGAGGCCTCTGATCAATTATAATTATAATTTAGTTCAAGATTAATTTGTAAATTACTATAATGAGCTAAGATTGATTGAAAACCTTATAACTATTATTTTTTAATAATTTTGGGAGAAGAAAAAGGAAGATGAAGAAGAAGATACAAAGATAAAGCATGCATGTGAAGTTTTGTTTTTTATATTATTAATTGATTTTGGTGATGTTGTAAAGTTATAAAATTCTTTCTTCAATAAAACTGCTTTAAAACAAAAACAAAAAAAGAAATACAAAATGAAGTAGGCAAGGTTGCCCATTTTCACCACTTTTGTTCATATTTGTGCTGGAAATATTGAATATGATTAGAGAAGATAATCATATCAAAGGACTTAAAATAAGAGGAGAGGAGTAGAAATTACAAGCTTTTGCTGATGATTTAGTCTTTATTTTAGAGAATCCATTGGACTCTATTATACAACTCTTAAAAGTTTTACAAGATTATGGACAAGTGGCTGGCTTGAAGATTAATTTTAACAAGACTAAAATGTTAACGAAAAACATGACTAAAAACCAAGAACAACAAATACAACAGCTATTAGGTTTAGAGATTAAAAAGAAATTGAAATATTTGGAAATAAACATAACAGATAGATGTAGCTCTTTGATGGAAGATAACTACACACAACTTATTTTGGAAATTAAAAAAGACCTCAAGAGATGAAAACATTTACAAATATCTTTGATGGGAAGGATAGCTACAATACAAATGCACATTTTACCTAGATTGATCTTTCTATTCCAAACAATTCCCATCCTTCAAAATCAGAAATATTTTATAGAGCTTGATAAGCTGTGGAAACATTTTATATGGCAAGGGAAAAGACCAAGAATAAAATTGAAGGCTTTTCAAGATGCAAAAGGAAGAATTGGATTTGTGTTTTTCAGATTTTCAGTTATATTATAGAGCAGCTTCTTTGGCATGGTTAAGAGAATGGATTACTTTAGAAAACTCCAGGGTATTAGCTCTGGAAGGTCATGACTTATTGCTGGGGTGGCATGAACTTGTATGGTATGGGAAAGTCGATACTCATAAATATTTTAAACAGCACCTTATTCCGGTTTGTGACTCGCCATCTTTGGAGGGCTCCCGGGAGAGCTCCTGAGGAACCCCTGAACCTCCTGGTCCCAGAGGGAGATCCGGACTTCCTAGAGCCTTCCCGGAGGGAAGCTCTTGCAGGGGGCTTGAATTGGGGGCTCTCATGTATGGTGGTACGTGAGTAGACCCCTCTTTGCCCCAGAGCAGGGACCTGGAAGGGAGCGCTCATGGTTTGCCATTGAAGCACAGAAGCGCGATCAACCGATCTTGGAGTTGTACTCCGACTAGAGAATCTTAATCTTCAAACTTTCATTTTTGCATCATGAGTAGCTGAACTCCTGCTGAATATTTTGAACTGATACTTTGTTGTTTGTATGGTGGTCCATTTGAACTTCAAAAGACCAGGGTAAAAAAGAAAGAGAAAGGGTGGAAGGACTCCCCCCCGGTGGCTTCAAAGTGCAACCCAGGCTCCTTAAGGTTTACTATAAAGACATGAGAGGGCCTGATTCTTACTGTGACTATGGAATACTTAGAAAGATTGATAAAGTTTCTTTTTTAATGAAGACAGTAACCTATTTTTCTTCTTTGAAGAAAAACAGGTTGCTTACCTGTAACTGATGATCTATAAGTGGTCATCTGTGCATTCACACCCATGGGATCTAGTGTGCACGCGCTGGATCGATCAGTGCTGTAGCAAGCTCTTTTAACAGATTTTCGCGCCCAGTCCCTCGGGCATGCGCAGGAACCCCACTGCGCATGCCCAGAGGGGTGGGTGTGGACATCTCGCCAGTTCCTACAAACCGCCGCAAATCAACCCGTATTAAAAATGTAGAAGCTGACAGCAGCAGGGAAGGAGGGCAGGTGGTGTGAATGCACAGATGACCACTTGAAGATCACCAATTACAGGTAAGCAACCTGTTTATTTTCGACGTGGTCTCTTAGCTTCACACCCATGGGAGATTAGCGAGCAGTGGCCTACCTGGAGGAGGGTGCTGGCAGGTCCTTAAAGCGTAGCCGAAGATAGAATGTGATGTCCCATGTTGGTATTAGAGTTCTTACGGACATCTAGGGTGTAGTGCCTTATGAAGGTGTTAGGCGTGGCCCACGTAGCGGCTTTGCAAATGTCCATCAGGGGAACTCCCTGGAGGAAGGCAGTGGAAGCCGCAACAGCTCGGGTTGAATGG